TAGAGAATCTCATTGTTTTCCATAGGCCCAGCACCATGTCTGGCATTTCAAAAAAAAAAAAAAAAAAGTGCACAAAATTTGCTTACCAAATGAATGCACCAATATATGTTTTTGGTATGTATGTATGTATGTATTTATTTATTTATTTATGGCTGTGTTGGGTCTTCATTGCTGCACGCAGGCTTTCTCTAGTAGCCGTGAAAGGGGGCTCCTCTTCATTGAGGTGCGCGGGTTTCTCATTGCGGTGGTTTCTCTTGTTGTGGAGCACAGGCTCTAGGCGCACGGGCTTCAGTAGTTGTGGCATGCAGGCTCAGTTGTTGTGGCTTGCAGGCTCTAGAGCGCAGGCTCAGTAGTTGTGGCACATGGGCTTAGCTGCTCTGCGGCATGTGGGATCTTCCCAGACCAGGGCTCGAACCCGTGTCCCCTGCATTGGCAGGCGGATTCTTAACCACTGCACCACCAGGGAGACCCGAGTATATGTTTGAAGTCAATTTTTTAGCTCCTTTACATTTTTAAAACAAAGTCAAGATAGTCTTTATTTTACAAATAGTGCAAAAGCAGTTTATCAGAGACAACTCATGTTTCCTCTAAAAAAGCAACATTGAACAAGTCTTGAGTGATAGACTTTTAAGAGCTCTAATATCAACTTTGAAAGCCACGCACCTGATATCTTTTTTTTAAATTTCTTACTTTTCCATTGTTATGTAAAATTATGTTATATGAGAATTTTATGTAAAATTCATTCACACTTTTTTTTTTTTTTACTGTGAAGGAGTAATGAAGCCAACTAATAAACGTCACTCCCAGTATAAAATGAAAGCATCCCAAAGCATAGGTCTGCATGTTGAAGGAGGTAAGCAAAGTCAGATAACAAATACCAAGAAAAGGGCTTCCCTGGTGGCGCAGTGGTTGAGAGTCCACCTGCCGACGCAGGGGACGCGGGTTCGTGCCCGTGTCCAGGAAGATCCCACATGACGTGGAGCGGCTGGGCCCGTGAGCCGTGGCCGCTGAGCTTGCGCGTCCGGAGCCTGTGCTCCGCAACGGGAGAGGCCACAACAGTGAGAGGCCTGCGTACCACAAAAAAAAAAAGAGAATACCAAGGAAAGAATAAATGCAAAATTAAAATTATCTAGTGATATGATTTTTAAACAGTTGCAAATTCTCAGAGCTCTAGAAAATTTAATACTTGAAAAATTTTAAGAAATACAGCCATCAGGTTTGTGATTTATCCCAACAAAGCACTTTTTTTTTTAAACATCTTTATTGGAGTATAATTGCTTTACAATGGTGTGTTAGTTTCTGCAGTATAACATAGTGAATCAGCTATACATATACATATATCCCCATATCTCCTCCCCCTTGCGTCTCCCTCCCACCCTCCCTATCCCACCCCTCTAGGTGGACACGAAGCACCGAGCTGATCTCCCTGTGCTATATGGCTGCTTCCCACTAGCTATCTATTTTACATTTCACAGTGGATATATGTCCATGTCACTCTCTCGCTTCGTCCCAGCTTCCCCTTCCCCCTCCCCGTGTCCTGAAGTCCATTCTCTATGTCTGCGTCTTTGTTCCTGTCCTGCTCCTAGGTTCTTCAGAACCTTTTTTTTTTTTTAGATTCCAAATATATGTGTTAGCATACGGTATTTGTTTTTCTCTTTCTGACTTACTTCACTCTGTATGACAGTCTCTAGGTCCACCTACCTCACTACAAATAACTCCATTTCTTCTTACGGCTGAGTAATACCCATTGTATAGAAGTGCCACATCTTCTTTAGCCATTTATGTGTCAATGAGGTTGCTTCCATGTCCTGACTACTATAAATAGATCTGCAACGAACACTGTGGTTCATGACTCTTTTTGAATTATGGTTTTCTCAGGGTATATGCCCAGTGGTGGGATTGCTGGGTCATATGGTAGTTCTAAGTTTTTTAAGGAACCTCCATACTGTTCTCCATAGTGGCTGTATCAATTTACATTCCCACCAACAGTGCAAGACGGTTCCCTTTTCTCCACACCCTTTCCAGCATTTATTGTTTGTACATTTTTTGATGATGGCCATTCTGACCGGTGTGAGGTGATACCTCATTGTAGTTCTGACTTGCATTTCTCTAATGATTAGCGACATTGAGCATCCTTTCATGTGTTTGTTGGCAATCTGTATATCTTCTTTGGAGAAATGTCTATTTAAGTCTTCCACCCATTTTTGGATTGGGTTCTTTGTTTTTTTGATATTGAGCTGCGTGAGCTCAATATATATATTTTGGAGATTAATCCTTTGTCAGTTGCCTCGTTTGCAAATATTTTCTCCCATTCTCCCATTCTGAGAGGTGTCTTTGAGTCTTTTTTATGGTTTCCTTTGCTGTGCAAAATCTTTTAAGTTTCATTAGGTCCCATTTGTTTATTTTGTTTTTATTTCCATTCTCTAGGAGGTGGGTCCAAAAGGATCTTGCTGTGATTTATGTCATGGAGTGTTCTGCCTATGTTTTCCTCTAAGAGTTTTATAGTGTCTGGTCTTACATTTAGGTCTTTAATCCATTTTGAGTTTATTTTTGTGTATGGTGTTAGGGAGTGTTCTAATTTCATTCTTTTACATGTAGCTGTCCAGTTTTCCCAGCACCACTTATTGAAGAGGCTGTCTTTTCTCCACTGTATATTCTTGCCTCTTTTATCAAAGATAAGGTGACCATATGTGCATGGGCTTATCTCTGGGCTTCCTATCCTGTTCCATTGATCTATATTTCTGCTTTTGTGCCAGTAACATACTGTCTTCATTACTGCAGCTTTGTAGTATAGTCTGAAGTCAGGGAGCCTGATTCCTCCTGCTCCATTTTTCTTTCTCAAGATTGCTTTGGCTATTTGGAATCTTTTGTGTTTCCATACAAATTGTTAAATTCTTTGTTCTAGTTCTGTGAAAAATGCCGTTGTTAGTTTGATAGGGATTGCAGTGAATCTGTAGATTGCTTTGGGTAGTATAGTCATTTTCACAATCCAACAAAAGCTCTTCTCTTGAGAGGAAGGAGGAGTCTGAGAAGCTTCTACAGCCAGACAAACAGTACTGATAAATGTTTCCTCACAATCTCTCTCAGTTAATTACTGAAGATCATTAAGTATCTTCTATTAATTCATAACTTATTCATAGAATTATAAAGCTTTTATAAATATCACCTAAACAAGTAAGTAAATTTAAGTGTGCTACATATTGCTTCTGTATTAAGGTATATAGAAATGGACTGGATTCAAGCAAGTTGCCAGTTTCTCAGAAGTTCCTAGTTTCATAGAAGTATATGCACAAGTAAAAATAATTATGATCAAAGAAAGACTCTAATGCATAGTTAAGCTACAGTGGAACATTAGTGTTTGTTTAGTATTTAGTTCCAGCTCCAAACTACTATAAATAAGACATGAGACACCAAACAAACCTACGTAATACCAACTGGTACTAGAAGACAACAGGACTTTTTCCCCCTCCCCCAGCAAACAGTTATTTTATTGTGCATGTTATGTTTTCAGAAAGCTGAATAATCTTTCCTCTGAGCTTTTAAAATTAACATATAAAACATATCAGTGTATATTTAACTGAAGATCTGACGGGAATAAAACATAAAATCCCAAGACATCTTTTGTACACAAACAAAACAAAACGGTTAAGGATAAGAAACAGTTCACTAAAACAACACAAAAACCTATCTAATCTAATAATTTCATGTTGTATTTATAAAACATTTTAAGATAGCACTCTTTATAGTTAGCTCTGCTCTCTAGGTAATTGCAGAGTTTTATGCTAGTAATTTTTATTTACTCCTCATCATAATTAACAAGTTGGAAAAACTGAATTTAGTAAACACATAAAAAGTATTTCTAATCTCCAGCTTCTAAAACATCGTCTCTAATTCTAAAAATTTAACTTTTCAGATATCCATTATATACTTAAGGAAAGCCAGACTACATAGTTGAGATATTACTTAGATTTCTTACTGCTATAAATCCACTATCAGTGGTTGCCAACAGTTAGAAGGCAGGAAGGGTCTGACTGCAGGGGAGCAGCACAACGGAATTCTTTGGGGCACTGGAATTGTTCCGTATCAGTGGTGGTGGTTGCAATAATCTAGTCATGTATTAGGAATGAAAATAAATATATGTATATGTTCTTACCAGCACTATTCACAATCGCCAAGAAGTGGAATAAGCCTAAATGTCCATCAACAAGTGAATGGATAAACAAACTGTGGTATGTACATACAATGCAATATTATTCAGCCATAAAAAGCAATGAAACATGCTATAGCATGGATGAATCTTGAATACATTATGCTAAGTGAAAGAAGCCAGACATTAAAGGTCATATCATATGATTCTACTGATATGAAATATCCAACATAGATGAATCCACACAGACAGATAACAGATTGGTGGTTGCCAGGGGTTAAGGTGGAAGGGAAGCAGAAACTGTTTAATGGATAAAGGGTTTGCTCTGGAGTCTTGGAAATGTTTGGAACTACTTAAAAGTAGACAGATAGAGGTGATGATTACACAATACTATGAATGCACTAAATGCTACTGAATTGTTCACTTTAAAACGGTTAATTTTATGTTATATGAATTTCACCTCAGTAAATTATATACATATACACATATATGAAGCTTCATACAGAAGCAACATGATGACACTAATGATGGTGCTAATGAAAATGATGATGATGATACAGTGGTAGCGATATGTGCTTCCAAAAAACCTGGGAGGGCATAGTATCTGCCTTCAACATACTTAGTATTTACGGTATATGCAGAACATGTGGAACCATTAAACACAATCACTTAAAAAAAAAAAAAAAGAGTTCCATCCCTCTGAAAATATAGTTACAGTATAAAAGGAAAAACAGATTCTCATTTGACCAGAAAGTCTTGTTTAAATGACAAACCTTAAAAACAATTTCAGTAAACCTTTGATATCACAGTTACTGACATTTGGCTTTGACAGCTGTCAGTTCATGAAACTCACCAAGAAAGTGAAAACATGGCCTTGTCTGGAGACCATAAGCTGTTGGTGATGGTGGGGAGGGAGACCTTGTCATCAACATAGGAAAGAGCAACTGTGATGGGTAACTGCTTCCCAAATGCCAGAGCTGAGCTATATGTCATCCAGATCACAGGACATTAGAGCAGAGGGCCAGAACTCATGCCTTCATTCACTCAGCAACTGGAATCTTCTGTGTGTCATTTACTGTGCCAACCAGTGGGTACACAAAAAAGAAGAAAACTCAGGCCCTAAACTTCAAAATATCATAGTTCAAATTTAAGCCTCATGAGAATGTGGAAAAACGAAATTCTCATACATGACTGGTAAAGTAAAAATTAGTACAACCACTTTGGAAAATAATGTGGCAAAATCTAACAAAGCTGAACATACACATATCTTATAACCTATAAATTCAATCCAACATACATGCTCAACAGAAATGTGGATATACCCTCCCAAAAAAGCTTGTACAAAAATGTTCATAGCAACATTATTCTTTACAGCTTCAAACTGGAAATGATCCAAATATCCATCAACACAGTAGCCTGGGTAAATAAATTGTGGCATACTCAAAGGAATACTGTACTTCAGTAGTTCTCAACCAGACTCTGCCCGCCTCCCCAGGGGACATTCAGCAACATCTGGAGACATTTTAGGTTGTCATAACTGGGGGGCGTGCTACTGGCATCTTGTGATTGGGGTCAGGGATGCTGGGAAACATCCTTTGATGCACAGAAGAGCCTCCCCTATAACAAAGAATGTCAATAGGGCCACATCTGAGAAATCCTGGCCTACAGCAATGAAAACAAACTAGACTACATACACTATATGGATAAACACAAACATAATGTTGAGCAAAAAAGAAGCCAGACAAAGAAAAGAGCATATGTATGGTTCCATTTATATAAAGCTCAATATCAGGCTAAATTAATCCCTGGTGTTTGAAGTCAGGAGAGTGGGGATTGAAAGGGTCATGAGGAGGACTTCAGAAATACAAGCAATGTTCTGTTTCTTGAACTGGGTACCAGTTACCTGGCAACACGTGTAAATTCATTGAGCTGAATGGTTAAAATGTGGACACTTTTCTTAAGTATGCTATTCTTCCATAAAAAGTTTGTTTTAAAAAGAATTCATAGGACTTTATACCACAAAAAGGGAATTTTATTGTATGTAAATTTTAAAAACAAAAAAATTTTAATGCTTTCCTACTACAAATCAGTTAAAATTCATTATCACATGGGTTAATATTTCTCTGAAAAATTTCTCCTTTGGAGTCTGAGAATTCCAAGTCTTAGCTATGCCACTTGCCAGTTGTGTTGATCTTGACCAAGTTACATTTTTCACATTTATATCTTTTTAAAATTACAGAAACAACAGACCTTATTTGCAACAGCCAGGTGAATACAAACAACAAACAGGTATAAAATATGAAACACCCACCCTACCAATCCTTCTTCTCAGACCTAACCACTCTCAACACTTTTCTGTTTCCATCTAGACTTTTTCCTATAAGTATGTACAAATAGCCACGTTAACAGAATTCAATGTTTAACTCTCATGCATTTATAAAAGCAAGATCACACTGCATACTACCCAGCAACTTTTTAAAATTTAATATATGTGTAAATCTCTACCAGGGAATACAAAATTACCATATTCTATTACAGAGCTACCCAGTGTTCCAATGTATATACCATAACTTATTTAATCGATCTCCTAATTATGGTCACAGTTAACAACTTAAACTGGAAACAACTTCAAATAATGCTTTAATAAACATCAGAATATGCTTACATGATCACTTTTACACAACTGATGCTCTCCAAAATAGTTGTACCTACACTCCACAATCATAAAATAGGGCTTGCTTCACCACTCTTTTACCATAACAATATATCATTCTTTTTAACCTTTGTTAGACAGCTTAGTGAATTATAGGCATGACATCTTGATTTGTATTTTTTAATTACTGAGGTTAAGCATCACTCAAAATGTTTAAAGGTCATTTTTTAAATGTTTTCTGTTAAGTTTCTTGTTTATATCCCTTGTGGAGGAAGGTATATAATCACATTAAGCTTCATCTTCCTCATGTGCAAAACTGAGCTAACACTACTTGTCTCACAGGATGACTGAGAGGTCAAATGAGAAAATGGAGTATAATCAGGGATTGATAAGTTGGGCTGTACATCAAAATCATGTTGGAGAGCTTCAAAACAAACCAAAACAATCACCTGCCCAAAATCATAGAAGATTGAGAATTAATTCCAAGTAGGGCAGCCTGAAGGCTTTTTAAAGAAATCCACAGTTGATTCTGAGGTACACATCAGCAAATTAGAAAATAAAGGTCCTATGTATAACAGATTCACTTTGTTATAAAGCAGAAACTAACACACCATTGTAAAGCAATTACACTCCAATAAAGATGTAAAAAAATAATAATAAATAAATAATAAATAAAGGTCATTCCTTTTCCGACATGTTACCAAATATGTGTTCTGTTTTTAGATATACACAGAACCTCTACCACTGGATTCAACATTTCTTGGAGTTGGAAATTCTACTAAAAGCAGTCTTCTACTACTTTCACTCCCTAGACTGATTAGAATAGCTGAATAAAAATATTTTCAGTTTTTATGTGCAGCTAAGACTAAGGCCCAAAGTAAACATTCTTATTTACGACACACATTATGTAAAAGTGCATTGTGCTTTGGCTGATTATTACAATAAAACCTCATAATTTATCTTTTTCTACATTTCAAAAACATGCATAATCTTATACTACACTATTTCAAGTATATGATAGATGGCATTTATTATTGTTTATTGCGAAATTTCTTCTGAACCAGAATGCATCAATACAAGAGAAAGACATGTTAACACATGGTAATTAAGCAAAAATCAAAAGAAAGCATCTCAGGCTTCCCTGGTGGCGCAGTGGTTGGGGGTCCGCCTGCCGATGCAGGGGATACGGGTTCGTGCCCTGGTCTGGGAGGATCCCGCATGCCGTGGAGAGGCTGGGCCTGTGGGCCATGGCCGCTGGGCCTGCGCGTCCAGAGCCTGTGCTCCGCGACAGGAGAGGCCACAGCAGTGAGAGGCCTGCGTACCGCAAAAAAAAAAAAAGCAAGCATCTCCACAGATGGTGCTGGATAAGCTAGATACTCGTACGGAAAATATTGAGCTCACCCCATATGTAAAAATTAACTAAAAATAAGTCATAGACCTAAACATAAAACCTCAAAAACTATAAAATTTATAAAAGAAAACAGGAGAAAATCTCTTGACCTTAGAGTAGGGCAAAAATTGTTTAGAACACACACACAAAAACATATATATAAAATCTTTAAAATATAATAAACTAAGAAACTTCACCAAATTTAAGGCTTCTGATCTTTGAAAGATACCACTAAAAAACAGATGCAAACCAGAGATCGGAGAAAATAAGCTAACAAAGAATTTTTATCCAGAATACATAAAGAAGTCTTACAACCCATAATAAGTAGTACTTCAATTTTTAAATGGACAAAATAATTGGACATTTTACAAAAGAATACATATGAACAGCCAATAAACACCAAAAAATATGCTCAACATCACCAGGCATAAGGGAAAGGCAAATTAAACTACAGTCAGATGCCACTACACACCCACAAGTGCTGATGATAACTGGAATTATCATACACATTTTTAGTGAGAAAGTAAACTTGTGCAAGTGCTTTGGAAAACAGTTTGGTGATTTCTTATTAAGTATACACTTGCTTACAAACCAGCAATTCCACTCCTAGGTATCTACCCAAGAGAAACAAAAACGTGTTCATACAAAGACTTATACATGAATGTTCATAGCAGGTTTATACATAATAGGCCCCACAAGCCAGAAGTAATCTAAATATTCATCAACTGGTACATGGATAAACAAATTTTAGTATATTTATATAATGGGATACTGGAATACTATAATGGAATAAAAAGCAATGAGCTACTGAAATAAGCAGAAACATGGATGAATCTCAAAAACATTCTGCTGAGTGAAAGAAACCAGATACAAAAGAGTACATAGGGTAGGATTTCATTTACATGAAATTTTAGAATATGCAAAATTAATCTGTAGTGACAGAAAGCAGATCAGAAATTGTCTGGGGGCAGGGTGAGCAGGGATTGGTTACTAACTACAAGGGAACTTTTGAGGGTTATACAAAGTTCTACAACTTGACTGTAGTGGCTGTTACACAGCTGTATACATTTGTCCAAACTCATAAAGCTATACTGATTTTAAAATGAACCCAGGATTTGTTTTAATCAGGTATGGTAAGACACAGACATGGAAATAACTGCCATGAAGAAAGAAATTTATACTCACAATTCCCTGGAATTAGGAAGAATGCCAGACCACAACAGGCCATATGGGGAAGCACCAGGGTGGGTCAGGAGGCAGAAGGAATGGGAGGAAAATGAGGCAAGAACCTTTATTGTGGTTTTCACAGGAAAGAATGGCAAAGTAAACAAGCTAATCAGGTTTAGGATTGGCTACTTGGAATAATTTCAGTGGTCTCCATGGTACAGAAACTGCCCCTAGTTGGTTGGTACCTGGCCCTGGGGTGATTAGAGCAGGGAAGTAGTGGCCCAGGAGGGTAAGAGCTCAATATAGGAGGTAGGTGGAGGGTACAACCAAAGGAGGATTGGTTGGTTTGCACATGAAAGGCACACTTCTGGAGGAGTCCTTTGCTATCTCTAGGAATTAGCTAGCCCTAGAAGGGGCAGTTGTTCAACTCATTAAACTTTCAACCTTCCCTCTTATGTAAAAATTATAAATTTACTGTCAGTGAGGTTTTAGCTACATCCCAAGTTTTGTAATATGGCATTTATTACAATTCACTTCTAATTATTTTAAAATTTCATTTAGGATTTCTTCTCCTTTGACTCATAAGTTGTTTCCATAACTGTTCTATAAATGTTAGAAAAGAATGTGTTACCTCCAACTTCCAATTGCAGATTTCTGTATGTCCATTAAATCAAGTGTTGACTGTGTTTTTAAAATCTTTTTTATTCTTAATAATTTTTTTCTACTTCACCTTCAATAATTAGGACAGGTATGTTAAAACTCACCTACTATAGTAAGTGTATGCATTTCTCCTTGACAATTTCTGCTTACATATTATCAAAACATATCAAAACTTCTTGGTAAATTAACCTTTTATTATTGTATTTATCACTAATAATTTTTGTGTCTTAAACTCTATTTTATCTGGTATGACTGGAGCTACACCAGCTTTCTTTTGGTTTTCTAGATATCTTTTTCTACCTTTTTGATTTCAATCTTTCTGTATTGGTGTACTAGGGTATGTATCTTAAACAGTAGCATACAGCTGAATTTAATTTTTTTCCAGCCTATCAAATCTTTGTCTTAACTGCATTATTTAGTCTGCCTTCACTTAATACGATCCTTATAATATGCTGGAATTTATTTCCACTAGTACATTATTCTCTTTCTTTGCACTTGTTCTGTGACTTGTTTCTTTTCCTATCCTTTCATACATTTTTTTCTACATTCCATTTCTTCTATTAATTTGGAAGTTACATACTTCAATTTACCATGTAACCTTGAAATTTTAACATGCATACTTCATACTTTATTATCTTCATCCTCAAAAGATAAAAGAACCATAGAATTTTTTTTTTTAATTAATGTATTTATTTTTGGCTGCGTTGGGTCTTTGTTGCTGCACGCAGGCCCTCTTCACTTGAGGCGAGGCGGGGCTACTCTTCGCTTTGGTGCACGGGCCTCTCATTGCAGTGGCTTGTCCTGCTGCAGAGCACGGGCTCCAGGCACACGGGCTTCAGCAGCTGTGGCACACAGGCTCAGCAGTTGCGGATCACAGGCTCCAGAGTGCAGGCTCAGCAGTTATGGTGCACGGTCGCAGTTGTTCGGCGGCATGTGCGATCTTCCTGGACCAGGGCTCAAACCCATGTTCCCTGCATTGGCAGGCGGATTCCTAACCACTATGCCACCAGGGAAGCCCCCTAGAACCACAGAATGTTTTTGTTTTTTGCTTTTTACATCTTTATTGGAGTATAATTGCTTTACAATGGTGTGTTAGTTTCTGCTTTATAACAAAGTGAATCAGTTATACATATACATATGTTCCCATAGCTCTTCCCTCTTACGTCTCCCTCCCTCGCACCCTCCCTATCCCACCCCTCCAAGCGGTCACAAAGCACCGAGCTGATCTCCCTGTGCTATGCGGCTGCTTCCCACTAGCTATCTACCTTACGTTTGGTAGTGTATATATGTCCATGCCACTCTCTCACTTTGTCACAGCTTACCTTTCCCCCTCCCCATATCCTCAAGTCCATTCTCTAGTAGGTCTGTGTCTTTATTCCTGTCTTACCCCAAGGTTCTTCATGACATTTTTTTTTCTTAGATTCCATATATATGTGTTAGCATACGGTATTTGTCTTTCTCTTTCTGACTTACTTCACTCTGTATGACAGACTCTAGGTCCATCCACCTCATTACAAATAGTTCAATTTCGTTTCTTTTTATGGCTGAGTAATATTCCATTGTATATATGTGCCACATCTTCTTTATCCATTCATCCGATGATGAACACTTAGGTTGTTTCCATCTCCTGGCTATTGTAAATAGAGCTGCAATGAACATTTTGGTACATGGCTCTTTTTGAATTATGGTTTTCTCAGGGTATATGCCCAGTAGTGGGATTGCTGGGTTGTATGGTAGTTCTATTTTTAGTTTTTTAAGGAACCGCCATAGTGTTCTCCATAGTGGCTGTATCAATTTACATTCCCACCAGCAGTGCAAGAGTGTTCCCTTTTCTCCACACCCTCTCCAGCATTTATTGTTTGTAGATTTTTTGATGATGGCTATTCTGACCGGTGTGAGATGATATCTCATTGTAGTTTTGATTTGCATTTCTCTAATGATTAATGATGTTGAGCATTCTTTCATGTGTTTGTTGGCAGTCTGTATATCTTCTTTGTAAAAATGTCTATTTAGGTCTTCTGCCCATTTTTGGATTGGGTTGTTTGTTTTTTTGTTATTAAGCTGCATGAGCTGCTTATAAATTTTGGAGATTAATCCTTTTTCAGTTGCTTCATTTGCAAATATTTTCTCCCATTCTGAGCGTTGTCTTTTGGTCTTGTTTATGGCCACAGAATGTTTTAATTCTACTTCATTCTCTCCATCTCAACTACCCTCTAGCATGGTACTATTTTCCAATATTTAAGCTCTGTTTGACATGTCTGTTGTTTTTATACTACCAGTATCTGTGTAGATTTACCCACGTGTCTC